ACAAGACAGTAGCTGGATGCAGTTAACATCTGCCCAAGATGAGTATTTTTATCGAGACACCATCTCTAGCCTTTACTCAACCAAGAGCCCCAAGGCAGGGGATGTTTAGCTGGATGCAGTTAACATCTGCCCAAGATGAGTGTTTTTATCGAGACACCATCTCTAGCCTTTACTCAACCAAGAGCCCCAAGGCAGGGGGTGTTTAGCTGGATGCAGTTAACATCTGCCCAAGATGAGTGTTTTTATCGAGACACCATCTCTAGCCTTTACTCATCCAAGAGCCCCAAGGCAGGGGATGTTTAGCTGGATGCAGTTAATATCTGCCCAAGTGTGATTTGTACAACCCTAGGCAAGTGTGATTTGTACTACCCTAGGCAATGTTATAGTAAGAAAGATAACTGTGTATAAACGAAAAATATAATTTTTTTGATGATGCATTATTAATAAAATGTTTTGTTTTATATAACTTTTTAATATCTTACTTTCAATATATTTAATATAAAATTTCCATGAAAATTTTTTATCTAAAATCGTTCCTAGAAAGTTTATTGTCGAATATTATAATATTGGCTTTACTAGGTTTATGGAATAAGATAAATTTAGTCTTCTCTACATTTAATGAAAGTCGGTTACTAATAAACCACTCTTTTATCGTATCTAGTTCTTCATTAAATATTTTAAAAAGAATATTAATATCTTTGTAATAAAATAAATTAGAAAAATCTGCAAATAAAATAGTATTTAACTTTTTTGATGATAAATATAAGTCATTTATATAAATTAAAAATAGTAATGGTCCTAAAATAAAACCTTGAGGCAGGGTTGCCATCTGTTTTTTTTTTAAGCCAGATTTCTCTAATCTGGTTTTCTTTTTTTAGCTCTTGCTTAAAACATTTTTCCTGGATCCCAGCCGGCACATTAAGTTTCATTTACGTGTTAAAAACCAGTGAACAGCACGTGGTTGACTCAGTGAATTTGTAAACTTTTCTCACGAGTTAGAAACCTTTTTATAATTGGTGTTTGGAACGTGTTTTAAAAAGTTTTTTTCACGTGTAAAACCAAGTTTTAATTACGTGACGTACACAGTGATTTTGTAAACTTTTCTCACGAGTTAGAAACCTAATTCTATTTAGTGTTTGGAACGTGATTTTAAAGGTGGGTTTCCCACTCATTCGTTTTTCTACGGGAACGAGATAGGAACGGGAAAAATAATCACGTGAGCATGCATAGTTTTACTTCGGACAAGTTAAAACTTATAATACGCATGCCCACGTGATTATTTTTTCCTTCCTTTTCCCGTTCCTATGAAAAAACGGATGAGTGGAAACTCACCCTAAAGTTTTTTTTACATGTAAAACTTTAGTTTTACTTATAAGTTGTAATTATAACTTATAAGTAAAACTATAGTTTTAATTATTTAAGATATAAAATTAAGTATAATCTTAAACGCATAATATGAGCATAATTAAAACTTAAGTTTTAATTATGCTCATATTAAACTTAAATTAATTTTATATCTTAAATAATTAAAATTTATCTGACACGTTTAATAACGTGTCAGATATAAATTTTTATATGCATTTTTATATATCAACGTATGTTAATAATTGTTATTTTTAATAAGTTTGCTCATTAAAATAAAGTAAATACAATAAAAACTAAATAATAAGTACTTTTATTATTAAAATAACTCAAATCATCATTTGATAAAAAGTTTGACAGCCTAACATGGTGGTAGTCTATTAAAACGTTTTCCTGCTTGTTTAAGCCACTCTGATATAACTCGTTTGGTTTCTTTTTCTGAGGAATTCCAAACATTAGATATTGATCTGAGTAATAATGAATACAAAGTTGGAAGATGATGGACCAAAGACAAATGGTCCGTATATGACTTTAACGGTACATTATTACCATACATAACATTTATATTTATTTGCAACTTGCATGACATAATTGCATTTAGAGAACAACGAACATGCTCGCTCATGGACTTACATGTTAAACCTATAACTTCCACCTTCCTCTGAAGCATTAGTTTAATTTTTTTATTGTCAACTATTTTCTTTTCGAGTGCCAAAAGTTCTTCGGTGGTAGTCGTTTGTTCGAAATCATCTACATCTTCATTGTCACTCTTTGATAGAAATGAAAGAATCTTTGATTGTTGTTTTTCGATTAGTTGCATTTTTTCTTTAAGGTCGCTTAAACAAAACAAAACTTTTTGCTGAAAGCTTCCCATGTCTATAGGAAATTGGTCAACTTGAATTTTTTTTGGTCGTCCACCTTTAAAACTCTTGACAGGGAGATAATTATTTATTTTGTCTTCTTTATTTTTAAGTGATGTATCATTATTTAAAATAAAATGTATATCCCCTTTGTGTGACAACTCACCAGATGAATCGCCAACAGCTTCTTCATTTATGTTCCGCTTTTTTTTTTTTTTAGGTGAATTTGATTTTACCAACCATCCTTCTTGTTTTTTACCTTAAAAAAATATTTTCAAATAAGTGCTCAATAAATAAATACAAAATAGTTGAAAAAAACTATTAATGTGAGGTTTTTTATGGATTTTTTTTTGATGTGGAGGAATTTTTATTCCCAATCAAAGTAAACATAAAATTTTATTCCTGTTTTACACCCTGTTCTGGTAGCTTTGGGAAGATAAACTTAAAAAACCTTAAAAAACTTATATAAGAGAATATCTGCTCTTAAAGCTAAAATAATATAAGGCCAGAGATGTCTGTTAAAGGATTATGAAAATGCTCTTTAATTAAAAATACACCTTTGTTATAAGTAAATACTGTTATAAGTATTTAAATCATTGTAAACTATATTCTCAGAATTATTTACAAACAAATCATAGTCATGATTTGTTTCTAATGTGAAAGTGAATACTAACCATTATTTGGTTTTTCCAAAAAATTTTGAATCACAGGATAATCCACCAGTGTTTCTGAAAGGTATAATAAGTTTGATAACTTGAAATAATGATAATGAACTTTTACTTTTAACTATGGAAACACTAAAACTTAACAACCCATAAATTACGTAAAACTCTTGCAACAACCACTTTGATGAATTTTAAGACTTTTAAAAGTCATAATGGAATCAAGAATTTAACCGTTACATTATAACAACTACTATTAACCACAACAAGGAATGGATCAATTTACCTGTTATTGTATCATAACATGCTTTAAGAACTTTTCCTACAAGCAATTTATAAAAAATAAGTATAAGCAATGAAATAGATATAATAGTGTACTGCAACATCATTTGTTGTATTTAGAAATTATAATCAGCTATAAAACATAAAAAAATTAGAAATTATAATAAGGTATAAAACATAAATAACAGGAGCATTCCTACTAACTTATACTTAAAATTACTTAGCACGATGGTGTTATTTATGTTTTATACCTAATGAAAATTCATAATAAAATACCAGGAAAAAAAAACAAACAAACAAACAAGAAAGCAAAAAAAAAATAAATAAATAAATACAAAATTTTCTTTTACCTTTCTTAGTAGATAAAGAATGCTGCATTGATGTCAACTTTTCGTTAGCTACACTTGCTTTGTCTAGATATTAGAAATTGTTTACAAAACCTATAGCTTTAATGCCACTAATCACCACCACAAATAATATTTTCCTTATCTTTTTTTTAAAAAAAAACTTTTTAACTAAATAAAAATTTTAACGTACATTTTCCTGAAATAGTAAAATATATAAATAATTAAAAAAATAAATTTTTTTAGAAATAATATTATATGCAAACTTACAAAAACATTGAAGATCATTGTTTTTATTTGTATTTATTAGCTCTACATTTGCTGACCCAGTGTCTTCCTCAGTAGTTACATTATATAAATTTTCAAGTTCCACTAAAGAATCTGTAAGCAAAATAATTAAATAAATTATTTGTGTTGCTCTTTGTTATGTATAATGTATTTGTACATGACTTTAGAAGTATAAAATAAAATTTTTATGAAAAATAACTTAAACATTTTAATAGAAAATATATACTTTTCAATAAAATCAAAAACATTAGTACCACTAAAACGTTTCACTTTTTGAAGTGGAAATGAAAACCATTGTATGTCAGGCTCTGTGCAATCTGTAATCATTTGAATGACAGGTCTATCCGGCTCAGAAGGATAACGTACACACTTCTCTATCATATCTATCCAACAAACAGGAATGTTTTCTTGTATGGTTTTTAACCCTTCTTTCCATACCGCAGTACAATATTTATCCTAGAAATCAAGTGAGAATAAGTGCAACATATATATATATATATATATATATATATATATATATATATATATATATATATATATATATATATATATATATATATATATATATATAGTCTAAAACCACTACATAAAAATGCTATACTTTGGTGCCTAAAATAAAATTGAGCGTGTATAAGTTTTTATTTGGCAACCATAGCTAGTTAACACAGTTTCCCAATTATTATTATATAATCAAAAAATAATTTCCCAATTATTTTTTGTACTGTAATAGTTTTTTCATTAAATTTTCAGTTTTTCGCAAGTGGTCTTAAACTTTTTTCCAAGACTGTATATACATACATATATATATATATATATATATATATATATATATATATATATATATATATATATATATATATATATATATATATATATATATATATATATATATATATATATATATATATATATATATAACAAACACATCAAATACAAATGTAAAACACACAAAAAGCAAATTAATCAAACCATAAAGTGTCTGTGAAGCAATGACTTCAGAAGCAATGATTATTACCAACAGCGCAAGTAATAAGTTTCTAAAATCTTAATTTTTTTGTCAATCAAAAATAAATAATACAGAACATTTTGTAAATTATAGTCAATAGTTAAAATAAATGAAAATAATATCAACAACAACAAAAAAATCATTTCTTATTTATATGTGCAAACAACTGTTAATTGTTTTAAAAATAGCATTATACTTGTAACAATGAAATTTTTTTTTTGAATTAACTAAAAACTAAATACAATTGAACTATTGTTTGCATTCATTTTTGTGAAGAACTGGAACAAAGAGCAAACCGTCATCGCCATACTTCATTGCATACAGTTTTTTATAAACGTCAGCTTTATTTAAAGTTACAGTTTTACGCTTCAATTTTCTAATACTGTCACAACAAAGTATACCCCACTGTCTACTATCTAAAGGTACATCAAAAAAACTTTTTAACTGGCTTGGATTGATAACTAAACAAAGTAATTGTTGATTATCACTTGATCCTGAAATTCCAATAACTTCACAATATTTTTCATTCTTACTAATAAAGAATTGGTCTCTTCTAATTGTTGACACTTTCATATTTAACATTGTTTCATAAGTAGATAGCTGAATTTGTGAAGCTTCAAAAAATCTTTTAGTGTATGATGTTAAGGGATTAGTTTTCGCATCTCGAACAGTTCGTTTCAAACATTGTAAAAAGTTTTCAAAAGGAAAAGAAGATAAATAACTAAGTGAACACCTAAAATATTCTACATCATCGACAATGTGAAGTAAATTGTGAACATTGTATGTAAGGAAGGTTTCACCACAAAGTATTTTAGCATTGTAGACAAAACTTTGAAATAGGCAACGTGCAAACCCCAACAACTTGTTTCTATATTCATCATTATCAATGTGTAAAATCCGTACAGCTATAAAAAATGATTTAAATAAATCGTAATGCTGATCGTTAAGTACACCTTTAAATATCAAAATACCAGTGTATAAAACCAACTGCCGAAACTCTGTAGCTTTCCAACGATCCACTTCAAATAAACTGCGTGGTCATCTCATAAAATCTGATGGTGTATATTGTGATAATTCTGTTAAGCGTAATGATATAGTATTTAGCTGAGCATGGCTGAGTCTAACATTTCGTGGCCCTGTTTTAAGAAACATTAAATATCTCCTGCAAACCCCAAGAAACAATAAATGCATTGATTCTAATGGAAAACCTTTAATAACATCAAAATGATCAATATTAAGAGCAGGACTTTTACTTAAGTAATGCTTAGGATATTGTCCTAACCGAAATAAAGAATCTGTTCTACATTCGCCTGCATTCGAAAAAATTATTCTTCTTTCTACAGATTGGCCTTCACAAGTGCATCTTTCACATCCTTGCTTTGAGGTATGGCCTGATACACATTTAACAAAAGCTCTGGCAGGAGCATCACAAATAAATGCATTAAGCTTTATTTCATATATCTTGCCATCAACCACCATAGAATTTTTCTGCAAAAAGTTGATTTCATCAATAAACTGCTCTAAATATTCATTAATGTTTAATGGTTTTCTATAACCACTAAATATAGCTATTACAAATGGAGTTGTATTAATACCATGGAAAGCACATAAAATAGGCCAAAATTGGAGATTACTTGAACGATGAATAGGAACCCCATCAATATTAATATTTAATTTTAAAACTGTTCGATCTTTGAAAATAAAAGGTAGAGAAAGAATCTTTTGAATTAAACTTTTTTCTAAACCAAAATAAGCAAAATGACCACCAGACGTTTGCACGGTGTTAACAGTTCGAGGAGTGTGTAATAAGGCACGAGCATCTTTTGGGATGTCACCTTTGTTGAACCTCCCACAATTATCCAAGATCTTCAGAAGATCATTAATTTTTTCGCGTGGCAATCTAGATTCAATAGCCCATTGTGCAAGCTTTGTTAAAAATTCAAATGTTGTTTCTTTAAAAGTAATTTTAATTTCATCTTCACTTGAAGATACAGGGCTAACATCATCTGGTTCTAAAATACATTCTTCATCATACAGATGCAGAGAAGCAGTATCATTTTGCATACTATTTGAATCTTCATCTTTATATGTATCAGGACTATTGAATTCTTCATTCTCACTGGTATTGTCACTATCCAAATGATCTTTAATGTTTAAAAGCTTTTTATTAGCAACCAATGTATCAGTGTTTAACATTTCTGCTAATAAATTTGACCTAGCCCGATAATTTTTCATGTAACGTTTCATATATCCACAATTTTTACGCTTGTTGATTTTGAGCATTCTTAAATTGTAATTGATATCTGTGATTAATATCAATTACAGTATAAATTTATATTATAATTTACATTATAAATTTATAATTCTAATTTATTGTTTTGCATTTGTAAGCTGTTATAAAAACATATTTATCCTATTCTGACAATAACTTAAGTTATATATTTAGTTATGTATATGTTCATATATATAAACATAAACAATAACTCTTATTATATATATATATATATATATATATATATATATATATATATATATATATATATATATATATATATATATATATATATATATATATATACATAACTAAATATATAACTCAACTTCTTGTGAGAATAGGATTATTATATTTTTATAACAGCTTACAAATACAAAATATAATCAATTTGAATTATAAATTTATTAAATAATATTAAACAAATATATAATATTCAGCTAAGTTAAATAATTTATATTTGAACAATATTTAATAATGTTTGAACTTAAACTTAAAAACTTTCGTAAGTTTATAAGTTTATAAGAAATGAACTCATCCTATGGACACATAAAATTTGCCATTTAGTAGGCGCTACTATGAGATATCTATCATATTTATTATTAATTAAGTTTACTGTCTTCTTTCTTAAATTACTATAGCAATTTATATTATTTATAAAAATTCCTGTTGATCACTCTAAATGACGGAATTATTAACACGAGTTTAGAACCTGTTCATTTATAAAGTTAAGCATGCGTTATTTATAAAGTTTTTAACACGTGTAAGGAACTAATGGTTTTATTTGACACGCATTGTGCCGGCTGGGATTATTTTAGAAAATCTGGTTAAAATCTTTTTTTTAAAGTGTTAGGTGTTTTTTTTTTTGCTATTTGAATTATTTTATTAAATCTGGTTTAATTCTGGTTTATTTTTTGTTAAACCAATTTAATCAAGCTTTTTTGTTTCATTAAAAAAGTGAAATAAAGCAAAATAAACAAAAATGAATAAAAATATGGATGAAAAGAAGAAAAAGGACGAAAATAAGTAAAAAGATATTCAAAGAAATTTAAAAAGTGAATAAACTCTCACTCGTGAGTTTCAAAAAGTTCAAACAATTTATTTGGGTTCGTTCCATTCATTTAAAATTCGGTTTTTTTCTTTAAAAAGTTTTTTTTCAATATATTATTGCATTTGTCGAAAATATTAGAAAAATCATTTAAAAAGACAATTTAAAGTAAAATACTTTACTTAAAAAAGGTAAAACGCGTTTTTAATTTTTTATTCAAATCTATTCAAATCACAACTAATTTATCTTTGCTAATTTTTCTTCTTAAAATATCTAATTTTAAAATTGATCATACCTATTGGTTATTAAGTTTAACAATCTGTAGCTTATACTTGATTTTTTGTTTTAGATTAGTATTTTTAAATTGACAATGCCAAACAAAAAATCATATGAATGTTCTCGTAGTTATCACAGTGAGTGGGAAAAATAACTTACCTGGCTAAAAAATAGCTCTGATGCATCTGAACAAGCTTTTTGTAGTCTTTGCCGCACTAATCTACTTCCACACAAAGGTAGCTTAGAGCAACATCAAAAAGCAGCTTCACACGTTAACCCCTTGAATACGTTTCAAATGAAGATTAATTTTCCGGGTCAAGTAAAAATTTCAGATGGAACATCTAAAACTCCACCGCACTAAGTGCACTAAAGTAATTCAGAATGTCGTCTCATTAACTCTAGAAGAAGAAATTTATAACCGTTTTCCATTCTCATTAATGAATCAACGGATGTGAGTTCAATTAAGCACCTAGCAATATGCGTGAGATATTTTTCAGAAAAGAGAAACAGGTTGTCAACGACTTTCTTGGCCTTATTCAAGTGGTCTCAACAACTGAAGATCTTTTTAATGCTTTGAATTATAAACTCTACTCTATTAGATTAACTCTTGAAAATTGCATCGGATGCAGTTCAGATGGTGTTTCAAATGTTATTGACATACATAATTCAGTCTGGTCTCGTGTACTAACTAAAATCCAGAAGATCTAATGAGTGAGCTAAATAGGCATCTCAAAAGCTTAAAGCAACGTGTTTTTGATACCAAGGGCTTTGTATTCCCTCTTCACGGTGTTGATTTTGGAGCTCAATTCTCCTCAGAGTGCCTGATTTACATTAATGAGCAACCTCCAAATGCAAAACTGAATGCTGAAAAATCAGTCAAAAATGTAAAAATTTGCTCTCTTGATCTTGACAAGTTGCGGATATTTATTTATAAAAAAATTAAATCGTTCTTTTTCAAAATTTTAACAAAATATTTTATTTGTTTTATTAACCTTGGGGATAAAATATTTGCAAAAAGCACAATTGATAGAAATTAGTAAATAAAATATTTCAAACGGACTTTGACATACTGCTCTTAAGTTAATTTTCAACAGAACAATAATATTTGTAAACTTTACTCAACTTTGTCAACTTTAACTTGGCTTAACTTACTTACTTTTCAAAATCCTAATACTTTTTTTTATAACGGACGGCTTTTTAAATTGAAGTTTTTGAGTAGAGGAATAAAATCTTTTGCGACAACCAGAGCTATGGTCCTGTTCATAAATGTAAAGTGAAATATGTTTAGGAATTAAAAAAAACTTCAAATACAAAATGAGAAAAATATTTTTAGTTGTTATTATAGGCTTTATATAATTAATAATATTAATTATATAAGGCCTACAAAACTATTATTTAATTTTTTTTATAAATTATGTAATAATTTTGTAAGTTTTATATAAGTTTTATATTTATCTCCAAGGTTAATAAAATATTTTATTTGTTTTATTAACCTTGGGGATAAAATATTTGCAAAAAGCACAATTAATAGAAATTAGCAAATAAAATATTTCAAACGGACTATATTTCAAACATACTGCTGTTAAGTTAATTTTCAACAGGACAATAATATTTGTAAACTTTACTCAACTTTGTCAACTTTAACTTGGCTTAACTTACTTACTTACTTACGTACTTACTTACATACATAGGAACATATATCGTTAAGCGCGACCACCTCTTCAGCCATTACAAACGGATCCGATTTTAAATTTTTTTTTGTTAACTTGAAGAGTTTTAAATGCTCTAATCTTGAATACACATGTATAATTATACTTTAATAAACTCGAACCAAGGGTTTTTAAGGTCTTTATTTGAAATTTGCCTGGAAGCGTTTAAACAGTGAAATCAAATATATGTATTTATCGAAAAGTTAGTATAGGCGGATCCAACTATATACGATACTGATTTAAAAGCATTTATTATATCATGCACTGAATACTGAAAAAACCATATGCACATACTCATCATTGTGGTTGAATTATGTCGCGGTTTGTAGTTTTACTGCTAAGCGCGTCCGGATGCGGTAGTAGATGTTTTTAAATGCAAACATTTCCTTACTTATAAAAGAAGAAAAGAAAACTGTGTAAAAAAAAGAAAGAACGAGGAAAGTCTGGCAATTATTATTTAAAAATTAGTTTTTCTTTTTCTTCTTGACCTTTAAAAAAATATGACTTTAAGATATTAAAGTACACAATAGAAACATCTTGCAGTTTGGAAAGATAATGCGAAACAAATCGTAGCATGCAACTAAACAAAAATACGAAATAAAAAGTTCTTCCTTTATCATAATCTGTAAGAATAAAAGGTTAAAGTCATTAAAATTGATACTGTAAGTTCTTAAAAAAAAGTAAAGGTTAAATTTTATCTTAATTTCTTTTAAATCGCAAAGAAATGTTCAGAAACTATTATTATTTAGTAAATATAGTTAGTTATTTTTAAAAATGTGTTTTTTACAGAAATTATTAATATATAATAAATTAAAATTACGAAAAACTCCTCAACTCGATCTTTTTACTATTTTTACGATTCTGTACAAAATGAATGACAACTATTTCTTTATAACAACTTATTTTATTTTCTAAAGTTCGTTTTAAAAAACCACCGCTAAAATGACATGTTTCTGCTATTTTATTGGTTTGCACAAAAATAACTTAATCAGTAAAATAAAATTACGGTTGTGATTAGGTCGATAGTTACTTCGATGAATGGCAAAGCCAAAATGCATAATTATCAAAATGCGCTAAAACTATATTCGCTGTTAAAAACTTAAAAATAACAAAACTGCACTATAATGAGTTCGTGTAATTATCAATATATCAAGAACTGTAAGGTATAAAACATAAATAACAGCACACGAACTAACTAATTTACTTTTTTATATGATATTTCATCAGACTTAAAATGCCAAGTTTAAAAACCAAGTTCATCTTAAGATGAACTTGGTTTTTTAAAAACCAAGTTCATCTTAAAAAAGCAGTAACAAACACACAAATAAAACCCAACTCAAATATCAACCCTACAATTATTACTGGAGTTTTTATAAGTTTAATATTCACGAATCTTTACCCAGTGGGCATTTCGACGTCGAACGAACGTCGAGCGACGTCGGATCTCGACGTCGGATCGACGTTGGGTTTACGTTGGAAATGGAAATGTTATTTGACGTCGGATAAACTGACATCGCGCGACGTCGGCATTCCGATGTAAATCCAACGTGTTTTTTGAAAACTAAAAAACGTTGCCTCAGGCAGGAATCGAACCTCGGTCTATTACAAACTATATACTACGCCCTTACCACTACACCACAGGGACATATTATAAAATACGTTTATTTAGTAATTTATACTTGTAGCTATTTGGGAATTATTTCTTTGATAAGAAATAATTTTGTTTAAATATTATATAAATATTAAAACGAATAGTTATATATTATAAAAAATGTATACTCGAAAATGTTAATAGTTAAAAAACTATGCTAGTGCATCATACAAAACCTCATGATGTTTTATCAACCATTATTCAAACTTCTTTCCATTAATAAAAAACACGCTTAGTTCACATATTTATTGAAGAGCGCAATTGCACACATATTGTTGGGTTTGGATTAAATTTTCATCAGCGATGTCTTACGACGTTGTTCCGACGTCGTTTTAAGGACGTTGGATTGACGTCGGAAGACGTCAAAAGACATCGGAGTACGTTAATATTATGACGTTGCCCGACGTCTTTTTATCGACGTTGGATCGATGTCAGTACTGCGACGTTTTTTGGACG